CCCCCTAACCCCAGGGTTGGGCAGGGGAGCGAACGCCCCAGGCAGGGATGGAGGAGGGTGCTCTCTCTGCAGACTCCCAGGACCTTCAGACACCTTCCAAGCCTCCCCCAGTCTCTCTTCGCCTCTGTGCACGCTCAGGTTGAAGGCTTGCCTGGGCTACCACCCTGGGCTCCCTGGTGAAATCCCAGAGCAGCTGAGGGGGAGGCTCCCGGGGGTTATTTTTGACAGAGACATTCTGACTTCAGCCTGTAATGTAAACACTGATTGGAAGGAGGGGACACTCCAGGCTTTCCTATCCCCACCCAGCTAAGTTCCAAGCCCTGATTTAGAGCCTCCTCAACAAGAAGCCCCCTTCCCTACCACCACACAAGACACGTGGGTGCAGGGGCAAGAGGCACTGTTAGAGCTAGTGGGGGCAAACCTGCCCATCCAAAGGTCTCCAGAAGGGGCCCAGGCTTGCTGCTGAATCCTCCCACCATGCAAGGAGTAAAAAGGTGTGGGGTCAGTGGAGTGGCATGGGTTCTCCAGCCCAATGTGGGGGGATATTTCTGGATAGTGGTCCAGACCCTACTGAGACAAATGGGAAAAAGAAGACACACATACACAAGGTGGGGGGTGGCTCCCACTTCCTACTTCTTTGTGTAGTCTGTTCCTCGTGTGCCCTTACTCCCCAGCTGTACTCACACAAACCCCAAGTCAAGGCTTCTCATGACTTAACACTGGTCGACTATGTAACCATCTGCACCTGGCTCTGTGAACGTCCTCCACTCAAAAAGAACACATCACACTGTCACCTAAATCAGGACCTGAGTCACACTTCGAACACTGATCTACCTCAAATCTTAAAGATACCCAAACCCTGGATATGCGCAGGCATGCATGTGCACACATAATCTATGTCGGGCCTGCACACATTAGGACCTGTGACATATATGGACTTTGACCCAATATACTGAATATACCGCAACTGTGCGATACCCCCTAAGCCTGTGGGCATCACACACGTACCTCACCACTCATTAGAGGGATAAGCCATCCTGTCTCAAGGCTGCACACTGTTCCCCAACCCAGCCTGGCCATTTGAGACCCCCGGTATGGACATCTATGGCAGTTAACAGACCCCCACACATGTGGCCTACTACCTGCTATAAGGACTTAAGACATTCTCACTGACTCCCAAATGTACAGTCCAACTCTGGGATAGCCATACTTGTCACCCACGGCAGGACAACTCCTATCATTTGTTTCCTGCCTTTAAAGTTTCCAAAGTGCGTTCATAGGCAGTACTTCAAGAGGTCCTTACAACACACAGGGCCCAGTATCCTAAAGTGAATAGATCACAGTGAACCAGGAAGGCCTGAGGCTGGAACCCTGGGCTTCTAACCCCACTCCATGCAAGCCCAGCGCTGGGGCACTGCAGCCTTTCCTACCCCCTTCCCCCTGTAGGTCTCAAATGACTGTGAGGGGACAGGGCTATGGCTTTTGCCCTCAGTCCAGAGCTCAGGACCCCCACCCAGACTGTCTGCTCAGACAGGAGGGAAAGGGACCCTTTGTTTCAGGTGGGGAAGAAGGTTCCCTAAATGCCAAGATGTATCAAGGCTCTGGTCTATCATTCAAAACAGACCCTCTCCTAGTTCTGCTCTAGCAAGTCTGCGCCCTGCTCTGTGCTGACTCGGTTCCCCCAGCTCCAGAGGGCCAGGAGAGGTCAATCCAGCTGAAGAGAGCAAGTCTGAGTGAGAAGGCCCTAAAACTGGGGGTGCTGGGAGCAGGAAGACTGACAAAGGTGATGAGGGAGAGAGAAGATGGGCGAGTACTCCTGGAGGTGGGGACTCAAGGACGGCAGCCAGCCTCAGCCCACAGGACGAGGTACCAGCACTGCCCCCTGCCCGGGCCCCTGACCCAGGCCTCCAGTGTGCCTGCCCCCCTTCCTTTGTCTGTGCCCGGCCTCCCGTTGGCCTGGCGCTCTGCCATCCTCCTCTCCTGGCTCCCAGCCGCCACCACTGCTGCCTGCTCCCCTCCCCCTACTCTTCCCTGCCTTAACCCTTCGGAGCCACATGCTGCCCCAGACAGGCCCTGGCCCCTCAGCATCCTGCCCAGGGTGATGCCCCTCGGCAGAGGCTCTTCCCGCTCCTGGCTACTGCAGCTCCAGAAGCTGTTCCGGGCCCCAGAAGCGTTGTGGGAGCTGGCTGTGTGTGTGTGTGTGTGTGTGTGTGTGTGTATGTGTGTATCTTGTGGTGTTTCTGCGTGCATGTGTGTGGGTCTGCGTGTGCTCTGGCTTCCTCAGTCACATGTGTAGGGCATGTGCTGTCTCTGCTGGGCTGGGGGAGGAGGAGGAGCTGGGAGACAGCAGAGCACAAAGGAGAGACTCAGACAGGCTGGCCGGCAGGCGGGCGGGCAGGCAGGCAGGCAGGCAGGCACTGGGCCCTCACCCCAGGACTGCTCAAGGTTGGTGGGGGGCCTTTGGGCCCAGATTGCCACATGCAGTCTGGATGCCCTCTGC